TCCAGGGCACTGGCCAACAGCTAATAGGAATTAGAAATAATATTTACTATGCTGTAAATACATGACACTTGCTCAAAGAAATGTACTACTGGCTGCAGTAGCATCGAGGGTGCTGTCTTAGATGAGCTCCTGCTTTAATACACTTCTGTTTTTTCCCAAAGGAGAAAAAGATATTTTAAAACGTGTTACTTGTAAAAAGTTGTAATCGGACTGTTTTAGCGAGGGAACGAGCCGAGCCAACGTTCGAAAGCCAAAGCTGGACGCAGGCAATAGCAGCGAGTCTGCTGCTGAGGAAGAGGAAGGTGCATATCTCGAATATTAAAAGCAAGGTAGGATTGTAAAATGACTCCGGCGTCTCCTGCTGCACCTCTGGAGTGGTTCCCCTTCTGGCATCAAAGTGCACGTTTCTTCAAAGCAGCCCAGGCAGCGCTGCTCCATGCAGGCGAGTGTTTTTCAAAGGGCGGTGTTGAAATCTTGCGGACAGAGATATGGCAGATCCCCTGAGAGCGCCGCAGCGAGCCTTGCAAAGCGGCACCCCCGTGCCTTGATCCTGCCATGAGAGGGTCTTTCCGCAGTGTTATTCATTACTGCGTTTTGCAGCACTCACATGTTCTAGATGCTTTGAATTTGTCAGTGTTCGCTTTAAATAAAGTGCGAATCCGCATGGTGGCTGGTAGACCGGAGGTAGGTATGTAGGTGTATATACACGTGGTGTCACCGTCGTGCTGTAGGGGACCACGAGTTCTTCCGTGGAGCTATCAGGTTTCCCATATTCAGTGCATGACTTGCATGGCCGGCTCAGGTCTTGTTCTGTCCCCTGCTGTTCCCTTTCGTGCCTTCGCAGGGCAGTGGCATTTCTGCTCCCTGGCACTAGCTGGCACATGGGCTGCATGGTCATGGTCCACCAACCTGCCTGCTGCGGTGCCAGCAGCTGCAGCACTCTACTTTCCTTGCCCTGGAGCAAAATTCTAAGAAGGTTCAGGCAGTCACCTGGCTTAAAAGCATATTCCTTGCGTCTTATTCTCCAGCTGCACCCGTGTCGTGCAGCCCATCTCCCGTCACAACCTCAGGCCTAAGCCTGTCCCGTCCTTCAACCTGCCGCACGGGTTGGCGCTTGGTAGAGACTTGGCGTTGAGCGAGCTGCCTGTTAGCAGATTGCTTCAAGGCAAAATCCCTTCTCTTTGGTGTATTCGAGGTCATCGGTTTATCTTTCCCAAATTTAGAGCACACCGTCTTTTAAGAGATTTGTGTTTTCTGGAGATTTTGGTTGATTGTGGGTCTACGTGCTTAAAAAAATGGGACTTGCGAGAAGTTTTCTTGCAGTGGCCAAGGACTGTTTGTTCCTTTCACAATCCTTGTGTTAGGAAGCGGTTAATTTTGTCATCTCCGTCGGTGCGACAGCTACACCGTCATTTTCCAGTTTTCCTGTTTTTTTGGTGGTAATGGTGCCGTGAGCCACCCTCGGGGAAGGTGACTTTCCTTTTACTGGGGTCGTAACATCCCACATCTTTCCAACCTCCGAACGAGACTTGCGCACCTGAAACGTAATCAGTAATGAAAATTTCCAGTGTTGGCTTTCTCACGGTGTAACTCTTCCCGCGGCCCCTTGCAGGACTGACGCAATTTCAACCACATACCGTAGAGTCGTAGCATGTTGGGACTTTTCCTGTTGCGCATTTCCCCTTCAGACAGCCTCTCTGCTTCTCCTCCTGAGCGTTGCACTGGGTGAAAGCTCAGGTTTTTTGACGTAGCGCTATGATATGGGTACGTTAATGTTGCAACAAGAGTCTTGCGAGTTTGGATAGGGTTCGTCCCAAGGGTGGGTCTTCATTCCCCGCGCAACTGTCTAAAGAGATTATTCCTGTAAAGCACAGTTAATCCCCTGCAGGGGCAAATGTAGGAGATCCTGGGCATGTGTACTCAAGCACCACCCGAATTATGCGGACGCAGGCCCTGTCCTCGAATACCCCCTGCGGCTCTGTTCTTGGGAAAATTTAGGGTATGAGTATGACTTGCAGAAAGAGGAGTGTTTTGCAGCTTTCCTTTAGGTTGCGGGTGTTTTTTTTTCCATGTGCTTAATCCTAACTGGAGCTTAAATTAAGTTCTTTCCATCCAAAAAATCTTTGCACTTTCTTCATCTACGAGCACTACTAACTCTTCTTGCCCCCAAGCATCACACTGAAGCAACCTTAGCTGGTGCGGACAACGTGAATTTGCTGAAATCGGGTGTTGCTCTCTCAACCTCCGGTTGCGAGGCAGCGGTTCCCGAGCTCGGCTTTTGGTTGCTCCGTCACTGAGCTTTAGCTCTCCCCGGGGACACGCTCTGCGCGCTGACTCATGTTGCCGCCTGGTAGGTAGCCTGACGTTTTTACCTTTTAAATAAAGTCAAAATTGTTTTGATTTCAAACAGCTCATGGAATAGATTAAGTCCACGGGGTAATCGCGTGCAGCCTGCGTAGTAGTACTTATATCATCCAGGGCTGTTCAGAAGGTAGATTAATCCACGGGGAACAATCCTAAATACCTGATTCAATTAAGAGTTTGCACATAAAACAGCTTTAGTTTAAAACAGTGAAGTTGATGTTTAAAATAAACACAAATTGGCGATTAAAAGAGGGACCACCAGGGTTTATCATCTTTTTGCTTGCTTTTGTGCTGCTTCACATAAAGAAAGCTTATTTTGACACGCTCTTTTATTTGTTTTGCTGCAATTTGATGTGTTTGAGGGTTCTTTATTTCTGCTGCCGACGTGCTTCTACAAAGATTAAATAGAAACAAACCGAGATAGGTTTTGAAAATGAATGGATTTTTTTCCTGTGAGTCGACAGCATCGTGCGCCTGGCGCTCTGGACCCCCACTTCGAAATGGAGCTCTTCTAGAAGACAGTCAAAAATGTATTTCTCAATATTAAAGTATTCGAGGGAGCGAGAGATCTTATCCTGTTTTCTCCTGTTAAAAGTGTAAATCAGTTTACCTGACAGAAAACGTATGTTTAAATGTCGACAAGCAAATATAAATTCTTATCCGTTGCATATATTGGTTTTAAATTTCAAAATACTTAATAAACAGCCCAATTTTGGAACACCTTGTGAGATATGGCGATAGCGATCCTCCCGTACAGAGGAGAACCGCGTTGCTGAGAAATAGAGAGAGACAAAGAGGGGTAAGGCCAAAGCTGCCCAGAATTTACTGGGATGGCGAAAGAGCAGGCGCAGTAAGAGTTACAGGTCTTGCTTTTTTTCTTCTTCTTCTTCTTCTTCTTCTTCTTTTGTGATTTTGTGACTTCAGATGTAAGTATTGAATTCTGATTCCTATTACAATGACATTTAATCTCTGTGGTTGAGCCAGATGAGTTCTTGGATGCCGAAGTTGATGCTTTTGCCTTGGGGATCGGCTCACGCGGTCTGCTTGACACCTCTGCAGGCAGGACAGCCTGGAGGCCTGGATTTTAAGTCTTAGGTTTCTTGTTTTGTTAGTGGGGAGAGGTTAAGTCTGTGCAAGGACTTCCATTGCCTTCCTTACGCCCGTCACATGAACAACTGGCTAAAACGTGTAGTTCTCTGGTTCAGAACGGGTTAAAAAAAAAAAACCACCACCCGCTCACAATTCAGTTGCACCCTCCTTTAGATGCTCTTTGACTACGACCTCTTTTAGAGGCTGCTTAGTTTTGAAATTTGGCATAGAAAAAGCTTTCGCCTAAAAGCATGCGAATCTTTGGAGCGATTTCCTGTTTGCATTTATCAATATAAAAATAAACGTTGTGCTGGTTGTTAATGAGGCTGCATAGCCCTTGCGTGGAGGCCAGGCAAAGTGCCCCTACGGAAACCCAGCAGCGTAAACACGAAGCAATAGATTCGTACGGTTTTGTCCGGGAACAGATGGTATAGAAATTAGCAGAGAATTTGGACTTGGGAAGGTATTTACCATGGTGAAGCGAAAATGATGCCTTTCGATGGATTTTTGAGATACGCAGTATTAGTGAGTAGATCTGCAAAAATAGCGCACGTTTGGGGCTTAGCAGTATTTGGGGTGAAGTTGAACCCTCAGGGTTTTGCCCAAAAGTGGAAACGTGATCGCAGTGAGCGAGAGGGTAGTGAATTCTGGTTTGTGAATTTATTTATTTATTTATTTTTGGGTCAGTTAGTGAGGCGGCAGGTTGGATGCCCTCAAATAACCTAGTGTAGGTGTTGGGACCTTTCCTCAACACCAAAGAGGTTTGATTAGGACCTTGAATGAGCATGGGGGAACGCTGAAGACTCACGTCAGAAGTCTGAAAAGGATTATAACTAGGGAATAGCTAAATCAGAATTAAGCAGAACAAATCCCAACTGAGGAGAGACATTAGTGGTGAAGATCAGTATGATTTTACCAATTACCAATATGAAAGTTAGTATAGCAATGATCTTTCTTTCTAAAATCAAATAATATAAGGAAAAATGTGTGTTATATTTAAAGCTGCATAAGTAAAACTGATGTAGCTCCGATAAGATAGTGGGATCAGTTTCTGAACCAAATCAGTCTATAAGAATTGATCATTAATGCAAGTTAATGGTGGGTTTTCTATGTCTACATTTTACCATTGTTGGATACTATATATTAGATTATAAACCTGTCTCTGAGAACAGTCTCTAAAAAGGTTGTAACTACAATGCAAATTAAAAGCTGTGAGGAGCACTGGTAATGTTTCTGGCTTAATCCTCTCTCCTCCTTGTGTGCTTGTGTGTTCTGATACAAAGTTGTGCCTAATTTTTAATCCTCTTTGTAAGTACAAATGGCTTCTAACAGTAGGAGCCCAAACGTTATAGCTAGGTGGTCTTTGAGAAGTAATATTTAGAAACAGTTCCATTAAACTGAATTCCATAATCTCCGATTTAAGTGAACGTGGAAAATCTGGTGAGCATCGTTTTTGGCTTTTGCGTTGCCCGACTGCGTGCGTATCGGGATGTATGTGAGCAATTCGTTCTTGGTTACTCCTTTTGTTTATAATTTCTTCCTTCCAGCTACTTTGACAAGCTACTCCGAAAATGTGGAACGCACGAAATACGGAGGGGAAAGCAGTAAAGAATTAGGATCGGGAGGAAACCTGAAACCGTGGCAGTCGCAGAAATCCAGCATGGACTCCTGTCTGTACCGGGTAGACGAGAACATGACGGCCTCCACCTACAGCCTGAACAAGATCCCAGAGAGGAACCTGGAGACGGTCTTGTCCCAGTCAGTGCAGTCTATTCCACTTTACCTTATGCCACGGCCAAATTCAGTAGCAGGTAAGAAATGAATATTTTTGCCTTTAGGTCAGAGTAAAGTTGAAATGAGACCCCGTGCATACGTATCACAGCCTTTTTCAGGTGTTCATTATTCGAAGAGAAGTCTCCTTTCTGTAACCGTTATCACTGAGTGCGCCAAAATTTTCTTTTTTATTTGAATTATTATTTCTGATTGGGAAATTACTTGGGGGGGAACATTATTTAGTTGTTATTTCAGGACTCAAAGTTCCCTTTTTTACAAAATTGCAGGACTATAAGATTATTGGAGAATATCTAGATTTTAAAAATGATTCTTTCCTCGCAAATATCATTGCAATGCAGATATTTTCAGGTTTAAAATAATATAAAGGACTCAGTCTAAGTAAAATCAAGGGCATGATCTTTTCTGAAGACGATGATGAGGATAACTTGGGAGTTAACAGAACTGTGAGTCTTTCTCTCTGCAGAAAAATCTCTGATTACGCCTCTCTTGATGGGATTTTGCTGTGAATGTAATAGCAATAGCACACAACTGGGGCTTTTGTGTGCCTGCACTAGTTTGGTTTTTGCAACATCTGGGACTTGCTAATGAATATAATCTTTTCTTTTGGCATTCCATCAACATTTTCTTCATTTAATTTCCTATCTACTGTTTGAAAGACTCTTAGATGATGCTGCAACATAGCTTATTAGCGCCTTTTTAACAACCTGTAAAGTTCCTCCCTGAAGCTGCCACCAGCAGGACAGAAAGAAGAGAGAGGGTTAAAAATATTACAGCTGTACTGAAAGGCTTCTTGTCTGAAATTGTTCTCACTTGCTTTGGTACTCTGTCATCTTTGTTGCTTGGTAATTTCTCTGGGGCTTAACATTGTGTTGAGATGGTCTGTATGTCTGTCTATATATAATTTATGTGGTCTCTGCAGGATTCTCCTGCTGGCTGGAGGCATTAATATTGGTCCAGAAACTCTGGACTGTGAAGAGCCTGGGAGCCTGTCTGTTAAAATAGCATCTCTCGTCCACCCAGGCTGCACTGTGTAACTAGATTAGATTTACTTTTTCTAAATCCCACTTTGACGAATCAAAGGTCTAAAAGCAATGTGGACATGAGATTTTACAGCCACTAAAATATGAGGACCCTAACCGTGGTGGTAGAACAACAAATGCTGTTTACTGAGGCCTGCAGGAATGAACGCATGGGGTTTCGGACTGAAAAGAGGCGACAGCGAAACGGTGAGAAGCGGCGGTTGCATAGGGTCACTTAGGCGTTGGGTTCATTTCCTGTAAATGACACCTCACCAACACCCGCCAAAGAAAAGCAGAGCAGGCCAGTTACCATAAAACCTAAATACGTGCGTGCATTGGTTTAGTTGACTTTGGAAGTAGTTGGCTTACATGGCGCATGTAGAGGCAAATACTTTTGCAAGAGAAAACCATCTAGCAAGGGTAGGGAACACCTTTTTTTTGCTGCTTCAAGTAGTAAGGGAGCTAACAGAGGTCATATCCCAGGATGAATCCTTGTGCTAGCAACTGTGGAGAAGAATGCAAGCTTTGGCTTAACCTTTTACTGTTGAATGATCATATGTTATTTCCTATAAATTTATGGCATCATAAAATTATATTTTCCAGCTGATAAATTTGCATGCCCTGCCCCCCGGACTGGTTAATATTTATATCTGTGTATTTGAATGATAGGAGAGGAGAGCCAGATTGGGCCAAAAAGGTGCAGTTTCATGGTTGACTTTAGCCTCGCTCCAAAATGTGCAGTTGCCCAAAGGGTTGATCCTGCGCCGTCCGCAGGCTCCGTCACATGCTTCCATCAGCATGTAGGTATTTGATAAATCAGATCAGCAGACTAACCTGCCTGAAAATGAACCCTCCGGAAAATAAGTATATTCAATTCCAGTCTGGAGCCCCAAGCGGCCTCAAACTGGGCAGGTGCTGCTTCCTTCTCAGTGGTTTAAGCTCATCGTGAAACCACACCTTTGCTGAAACAGACCGTTCTTGCCTTTTTTTGAAATGGAGTTGAGTTTATTTTACATATAAATCTCTCTATTCTTAGGAACTAACGCATGGCAGCACTTACCTTATGGAATTTTTTTTTTTCAGGTTTGTTTTTTTTAATAAGGTTCTCCCTGTATATCTTCCCAAATGGGCACAAAATGTTTTGGTTTTTTGTTTTTTTTAAAGCAGGCTTGCAAACGGCAATCGCGGCCGTGTGATGAAGCTCTTGGCTTACAGCGCGGCTTGCAAACAAACAGAAGCGGTTCTCCCAACGTGATATTGATCCAGTCTCTCACTTCGCCGCGTGTTATTTCTTCGGCCAGAAACGATTGCTAAAGGCAATTTTTTTTGTCAACGCTTTCTCTCGAAAAAACGCTCGTGTGCCTTATAACGCCGAAGTGGGAGGTTGCAGTTGGTGGAGCACTTCTGGGTCTTGGGAAATCGCTTAGCTGTCATGAGTTATTGTAGGCGTGATAGGATATTTTTTTGAGGGTCCAGTTGTGGGAATAGCGCGAGACCTCCTCTCGCATGAGCTCACGAGGAGCACGCATGGTGGCCAATACGTGGTGAGTTACTGCCTGGAGTATAAGTGTTGTCAGGCGATTTTATGGTGTTAAGACAGAGGCAGCTGTGAAGGGCGCTGCTGTTTGGCTAGGCAGCAAGCATTTAAAAACCATTAATGGAAAGAGAAAGGGAAAAACTGTACAATAAAAGGAGCAAATTGTTCTGATCTCAGGAGCAAGAAAACTTAAAAGGTCTCAGGTTCGTACCGAACTTATGGGCAGCAAATGGCTAGCAGTGTGGCTGTGAGTTAAAATACTACTAACAGATTGGAAGAGAATTGAGCAAAATGTGCGCCTATTGTCTACGCATTAATAGCGTGCGTAAGAAACACCTAGCTAAATCCCGTGAATGGAGTTGCCGCTACTCTTTTCCAAAAATCACACTTAAAAGCTTTCAGTTGTATTTAAGTAAGTGGCATCATACTTCAAAGGCAAAACCCCCTTGGAGTCAGCCTGGGTGGTTCAGGCACTGGCTAGTCCGTTCCAGCTTCATATTTCATCCAGTCTTTTCAAGCTAAAAATGCAATTCAGGGCCCGAGACGGGTTTGCTTTTTGGCGCTCAGGTTGCCTTTGTAAATGCAAAGACACAGCTTAGCTCTGCAACCAGAAAGTCCCAGCGCTGTCATTTTTTCAGGTATTTCTGATCCCCTTAGGGAATCTTTTGAAGAGGTTATTGAGTTAGCATTTGTCTCTTAGCTGGTGGAGCTAAATATTCTTTAAGCGTTTTTGGGTTCATCTCTGTGGAATTCCCAGATTTTTTCCTTTTTAGGGATTTCTGAAGGTTTTTTCACTGTTTTCTGAATTATCCTGTTTCAGCTGTTTTACTTAGGAAGTCCCCATCACTTCAAGAGTATAAGTGGTGCCCTAGATGCATCTTTGGAGAGAACATGTGTTTCCACAATTGAGTTTGAGGAAATGTAGAATTTCACCAGCTAAGTCGCATTAAAAGCAGAGAACTTAAGTGATAGGAGAATTTGCACTCTGGAAACTAAACTGTATCCTAATCCAAAGAGACGAGAAGGGACAGTTGGCCTCCTGAAATAAGGGCTTTAATTTCTTATAGTGTCTTGGAGTTGGAAGAGAATTACCTGGGTTTTATATTTATAAGAAAAGATATTAGTGGCCAGGTAACTCCCGCTTAACTCTCATGATCGCGTTTTTATCGACAAAGCCGATAGCGACGCCTCTACTTGGATTCCTCAAAGCTTTTTAATGCCAGCCATTTAACAGCTTGAAATTTTCCCAGAGTTTGACGATCTTTGAATTTAGCCTTTCAATACCAGGTGGCCTTAGCATAACGGTTCAGCCGTGCTGCATATGAAAATAAGGGGAAGATGTAATGTTTCCCCTGAATTAAATTCTTGTCTTAAATTCGCTTCATCTGAGAAGTCCCAGCACCTCCAACCTTTGGCGCTTTGCTTTGAACTTGCCACTTGGGTAATGGTGCAGCTGCGTTGCCTCCTTGTTACAGCACTCTAATTAAGCCCCTCTTAAGGCTCTATTTTGGAGTAATTGCTTCTAATCTTGTTGACTTCAGTCATCTGAGACATCTTTATTTACATAATGGTTATATTATTGGGGAAGGAGTTGTAAAAATCGAGTTTAGTCCTGCTAGCCTTACAGTTACGCTTATTGGAGAATGCGCTCTGTTTTGGTAAAGTCAAGCCAAACTGTAAAATGAAAAGCATATGTGTATATATATATCTCTTCTATGTAAAATGAAGAGTATAATCCCATGAGAACCAGCATCTCTTTAGCACCTCAGGGTTTTAAAGTAGTGTTTTTAATTGCTTGTGCACGGGAAGTTGATCGTATTTTCTGTCAATAAATCCCTCCGTGATATATCACAATTCCATTTAAACACTTGGCTTTAGTTTAGCCAGAGCTATGTTATATGCTTACACTGTATTACGTTATTGTGGGTTTTGATGTGTTTTTTAAAAAAAGGCAAATAATAAAGTTTCAGTGCTAATTAAGAAAATTCCCTTCCCTCCTTAGCAAGTCAAGATAGGGAGTATTTGAGAGTACATATTACCTCTCAAGAACAGGGCCTTTTGCTTCATTCTTCTAGAGTGAATAGCAACTTTTCTTGCTGTGTGACATTCACAAAACGTAATTCGGTAATCACCAGTTGAAATCCAATATCTTTTTTTAAAAAAAAAAAAAGGCAAGAAAAGAAATAGAAAGGAACAAAGCAGTGGAGTCATATAGAGAGCCTATATTTGTTACAGTTAAGAATACCAACGCTACCTTCACTGTAGACTTCATCTGCTGTAAGTGTATTTAGAGCAGGAGAGCTTGTTCTTCTAGAGGTTTGACTAGCGAAGCTGTGCCCTATTAGGGGTGATTTAATGGAAAATTTTCTGTCCTTAGCCAAGATGCACAAAAGCTGTGTGTGACCAAGGTGTAACGCCGCCTTAAAATAGTCATTGCCGAAGGCCCTGGCGATCACAATGG